CGGAGCCCGGAAGGAGGGAAGAAATGACAATACAAGAGTCTGTCAGGTGGCGGAGTCCCCCTGAGCCTCAGGGAGAAGGACCGAGAAAAAGAGGGAAGAGGCGTTCTTTACAAAGGCAAACTTGGGGCGGGAGGCAACCGCAGAGGGAGGCCATGGGCTGGCATAAGAGCAGCAGCTCTGAGGGGCCTGGGGCGGGGGGGGGGGAACCCCCGCCGAGCAGCAGGTGCAGGGCCAGAGGCAGTTTAACGCAAGATCTGCTCAGGTCCTGGCACTCTGGGCTCGGAAAAGATGAGAGCAGTTGCACAATGTATATACCTTGCAAGTAAGGCTAGGATGGGAGTAAATGAGAGGAGGTCGTATGGTATGATGGCAAAGATGTTAGAGTTAGGTCAAAAGGCCTGCGTTTTTATTCCGTTCTGCTTCTGTCATGTACTAGCTTTGTGACCCTGGGCAAACTACTGAATGTCTCTGAGCTCAGCTCTCCCATCTGAGGAACAGAACCACACATCCTGCCTGTCTCACAATGATGTGGTGGGCATAAGAGAAAGTAGTGAGTGGGTGGGCACTTTTTAAAGACGTACATGCATGTGAACTATTATGTGAGGATGACAGGAAGACCACACCACTGGGTACTCAGGTACAGAATTTCAAGTATTAGACCTGACGTATTTGTATATATGTACGTATGTATGTGTGTGTATGATACATATATACTTACATATAACATATATATACTGTTGCCTATAATAACCTATAACACACGCATATAACCATTTCAGTGATCTATATTATCTATGTTCACATAAATATCGTTATCTCCTATTTAATCTGATTTATTCCGATAGATGTTGAAACAAACTTGGTCACCAGAAGTGATCAGGGCATCGAAGGAAAAGCAAAAGGAAGATGACCCTCAATCTAAAAGTGCAAGAGGCCACATAGGAAGGTAAACTGGCTGTCTTGATTAAATGGCGGGTGCATCCTTGGACATGGAGCTGACTCTTTGATGCTCACAATTTAATTGAGGAAATGACAACCAGAAACAACCAGGGAACAAAATAGAGCAGTAAAATCAATCAGCCTGGGGCAGGCTGTGTGGTCTACGAATAACGGCTCTGGAACTTTAAAGAAGAGAAAGAGCATTAGGAGCGGCGTCATGAGGAAAAGCTCCGGAGGCAGGACGACAGGGGCTGAGACGGATAAAGAGCAATGGAACGGCGGCAGCAGAAGCAGGACAGTCCAGGTAAAATCACACAGCAGGAATACAAACATCGGCTTGAACAGCATGGGATCTGCGCTAGAGCAAAAAGCTCACTGTTCACCGTTGCTTAGCCTCTGGGAGAGCTGACGGGTCTCCCAAGGAGCCTGAGGAGAGGATAATGCACCCTAGGCCAGCCGGCCTCCTAACCTGGCCACTACGGCAGGAGGCGGTACTGTACATAAAACAAGTGGAAGGGCCTTTGGCAGGGTCAGGGACCCACAGCCTGCTTTGCCTACCCTCCACTCTCTCATTTTCCTTCTACCTTTTCCAACATGATCAACATTTACTCAGCACCAACCATGCAGGAAATTGGAGAAAAAGAGCAACAATCTCCTTGGGGAGTTAGATGTAAAAAATAGCTAAGACAGAAACAGCTAAGCACCAAGTAAGTAATACTGCTATTCCTAGCCAAGGAAGGCGAGACAGTGGATGCTAGTCAGGCTGGTTGGAAAAGGTTTCTTGGACTCGCTGGTGCTGGCCAAGCCTGGGAGGAAAGATGAGATTCCCAAGGCTGAGAGTTAAAAAAGGGGTATTATACACAAGAAGGTGTGCACACCAACGGGAATACTCGTAACACTACTGAACTATACACTTAAAATGGTTAAGATGGTAAATGTTATCTGTATTTTAATCACAGTTTTTTAAAAACTTTTTAAAAATTTACATACACGTGCTTCCTTAAAAAAAGACAAGAAGATATGAAAACACAACTGCCATTTGCAGCAAGTGATAAGCCAACCCGCCTGATTTTGTAGAAGGTTCGTGTAGAGTGGCAATCAGTAAAGAAACCAGTCAGCTTGAAACCAGACTGTGGAAAACCTCATGCCAGGTGGTACTTGGTTCTCTGCACCAGGGTTTCTAACTTTGTGGTCCAGGGAAGCACTTCAAGTTTTGGCCCATGAACACCCTGTAACAAATTTTGAATGTTCATTCATATGTGTGTTTTGATCTAGGGAGAGGGTAAATGACTTTCAGATTCTCAAAAGGGTTTATGACTTAAAAACCTTGAAAACCATTCATGCAGGCAATTGGCAGAGTGGTCTGTGTGGGGACGGGACAAGGGGGTTGAGGTTATAGGACTTGAGTCCATTTCCCTTGAGACTTGCTCTTCACTATACACCAGATAGTATTTAACAAACTGATGCCATACACGTCTTTAGTGGTTTCTTATTCACTAAGTATTCACAAGAGCTACTGGTAGATGAGAACAGCCCATCTGGGAAAGTTGCTGACACTTATTGTAGAAAAGAAACTACCAGCAGGTGAACAGAGAAGAGAACCCAGTAAAGGGGAGAGGAAGTCAGGAGAGTCAATATATTAAAATGCTACAGAAGACAGCGGGGAAAGTCTGGGGGAAGATGGAGTGGTTACCAGTGTCCAGTACAAGAGAGGAAATAAGAAAGATAAGAAATGAGAGAAAAAGATCTCCAAATTCAATGGTCTTCAGATGTGCGGTTTCTGTAGGGTGAGGAAAGAAGAGGTCAGAGGGTAAGGATAAGGTGTGCAAACCGGGGCGCGTGTAGAGAAGGGAGGTGCTGCCAATAATTATGTCAGAACAACAGGAGTAAACCGGGACTGTCCGGGGCAAGCAGATACACAGTTCGTTACCTCACTGAGGAGGAAGTTAGTAGGCTACCCGGAAAGGCAGCAGAGGTATCCAGGAACTCAAAGGGTTTGGTTGTGCAAAGAAAAATAGGATAGGAGTCAGCAGAACTAGGAGGGATAAGAAAAGGCTTTATCAGTTACTTATGGGAGAGGCAGGGAAGACTTCTGGAGGTTTTAAAGAGGGGAGGGAGGAAATGCATGAGAGCATCCTGCATCCTCCATCAACTTCAAGATGCATTTCTTGTGTGAACGTTGACTATGGGACGCCGGTCTTCTAGGAAGCAGGAAGGAACAGAATAAGCAGGAGTGGGGAGGGGACTTTCTTCCTTTGAAACTACACTGAAGGAGAGAAGAAAACACAGCGTGACCAGAAAGGGCAAGCCAGTGATTTTCTTCAACCTAGTGAGCATCCCAGATGTAGCTGTCAGAGAAGCTGTCATCTCCAAATTAGCTTTCCCTATGGCCTTTTCTTCAAGGGAGAAGAAATTAATAAGAAAGTGAAGTTAGGAGTTCCTTAAAGCTGATTCTTATGTAGCCTGCCAGAACTAGAACAATAAGGAAATAAATCCATCATGAAATATATCCTTTCACTCAGGGCTGAGCACTTATCTATTTATAATTTCATTTCAGATACTGCTTGGGGGCTACAGAGAGGTCAGGGGAACACTCACCCAGCTAAGTGTAAATAGGGTAAAAAATAAAAATAAACAGGATAAGAAAACAATGTTGGTGTCAGGACACAAAAATGCTACCATACTGATTATGTGGGCAGAGAGAAAACTCTCAGCCAAACGTCAGAAGGAGGTTAAATAATAAAAAATGGCATTCATCTATAAACAATTCTTAAATTACAACCAGGCACTCATCCAAACTTAGCACAATCTCACACAAAGGGGAAGGGAAGGTGTTCACAACATAACAGAGATGGGGCCATCAGGGAGAAGCTATCCGTACAAGCAGGCGCACCATAGGGTCAGTAAATGGTCAACCCCAGGAAATTATAAGGCATCAACCACATTCTAGAACGAGGAAGTCAGAGTATATATTTAAATAACCAGATGGACAGGTATTTACTATAAAAGTCAGTTTATTTTCCCTTCCTGTATTTCATATTTTCCCTTTTTTTTTGTCAGTAATGAGGAATTAACTGATTGGAAATCTCCTTGATTAAATAACATTAACAAGTTCATAAATTTATACACATTTTAGAGTATAAAGCAAGAAGCTGAAAAATATTCCCTAACCCAACACCAATTAGGCAGCCCTCAAAATTGCACATTTTCCCCCTTGTTCGTGTCCATAATTTAAAATACATATACAGAATGACCTAAAAATGTTGGGCTAATTTGTACAGAATTCCCAGCCTCGGAGACATACATGCCACAAACTTCTAAAGAGCAGATGCCGAGGCCCGAGGCCCGAGTAACCCACTGATGTGATTCAAGGTCACAGACTTGATGCGTACTAGGACAAAAGGTCTTTCCTCCGTCTCTAATTCTAGTCTTCTGCTGAGGTAACTCAAGGAACCCGGTTGTGAGAAAGATCAATTCTCTGAAAACAGGGCTAAGCAGATTAGCATCCTAGTGGATCCTAACGTTCCCAGAGAGCAAATCTGGAGTTGAGTACTTCGGTTGTGAGCTACCCCTTGGAATGTGCATGACAACTGATGATGTACCTTATGGTCCTTGAACGGAAGACTGAGTACTTCCAGGAGTCGAAGTTAATTGTGAATGAAGACAGAAGAGAACGAGCTGACAATAATTTGAAGGCATTTCTGCTTCTGGAGCTGATTAACTTTAAATCAGATACAGAGTGCCTGAGCCAGTCACCATGTAGTGTGATTTTTCCCACCACAGTTAACAAAGGGATTCTTTGTCCAAGGCAGGCTTATGCTTGATCCAGCTTGAGCACTCTACCAGGATTTGAGGCTTCAAAGATGAGCCGCTCTCGGCAAACTCATTATCAAAGCAAAATCCAATGATCCAATGAGCCCGTCATTGATGCAAACCATGTGCAACCGTCTCGTGGCCACTCAACTGTCCAGGCTGGAGAATTAGGGTCCAAGTCCAAGACAGTATTTCAGGTTAAAAGGATAAATCTCAACAGGCCAAATAAAGAGGCTGGCAGACTGATAGGCCATTCAGTACATTTATGAAGCAACAAAGAAAATCATCCATAATAACTCATGTAGTGCAGAAAAACAGCCCAGCCTTCACCACTGGTCAGCATCTCAAGTGGCTGACATTGTTGAAAGAGGCTTGACAATCTGAGGTTTTGTTGGAGCTCTTAAGACAACCCCCAATAGGGTGAATTAGAAGAAATAATAGTCCTGATGTGTCTTCCATTGTTCTTCTCTTCTCTTCTTCTCTTCTGGCAACACTCACTCACTCAATACATGAGCTTGTCGTCTTTGCATAAGATAGCAGGTTTCCCTCACTATTAACGGCGAGATAAATAAAATTGTACAACTTGTCTGTGAAGAGAAAAAAGCATTAAATATGCACTGATAATTTAATTAACTCTGTTAGAGCATCATGTTTTGAATGTAGTAATGAATGTGGACAGCATTCATTTCGACTTCATACAAAGAGGACTCGATCTTTTCTAATGAATTAGAAAACGATTTTGAAAATCGAGGTTAATATTTTTTTAAAAAACTTAATGTTACATAGTCTCCAGAAAAAGAACTAAGGTACACAAAATTAAATAATTTGCCACAGTAGAGCAAAAAATTGGTACTGGAGCTCGCTTTATTTATTTTTATTTATTTTTTATTTGTTTAAGTAATCTCTGCACCCAATGTGGGGCTCAAACTCATGACCCCAGGGCCAAGAGTCACATGCTCTGACTGAGCCAGCCAGGCGCCCCTGGAGCTCACTTTAAAAACAGTGCTTCTCACAATAAATCCAGTTTTCTTTCTAGTACAATTTCTTGTATGATCACACAGCAGGTTCATCAGGAGACATTTCCCTCTATTTAGCACAGATGTCAGAATAGGAACACAGAGACATATGGCCCAGTCTTTAGAAGCTGGAAGGCAGTTAGGCAGAAGAAGCATCCTTTGTGATAGCAGAATACATCGCCTTAAGGCAAGCTCCAGGGAATTCGGGCGCTGAACTCCTGGGCTCCTTGGACAAGGCTGGAGGACCATGGCTGGACTTGGGGTGCTTGAGGCTGTCTCCAATTAGGATGTACTAGATTTACGGATGGGATACAAAATGCATCCCCTCGTGGATGAAGCTGTCACCAGACTCTCTCAAGTAGACCTATCTTGAGTACCAATAATGTAGGAGAGGAGGTCACATACTTACTCAACAGAGAGCAACATTTTAAAAGTATAAGGCCTTGCTCTGAATTGGCTAGTTCCCAGAAAGTACACAATTCTAGCCAAGAATGTTGAAGGCATGACAAATATTTTCTCAAGAGACTCTCTTCATTTTAGAACCTACATACCACAGTGTTAATTATAGCAATGCTTCTTTTTGAGCCCAATGTTGCTTGGTGTATGCTGTAATTTCCTTCAGAATTCCCAAATTATATCTAGCGATAGAGAGTACCCTGGGAAGAGTACACCGATTAATACTTTCAGCAAGTCTCTCACCACTTTTTCTAGAATTATAAATGACAATACTCATTAGGTTCAGGTCAAGGGCAAACTAAAAACCTATTCCCACCTTGAAAAAAGAACGTATCTTTTAGACTCATGACATGTTACTTTTACCTTGAAAAAAAAACGTATCTTTTAGACTCATGACATGTTACTTTTCACAAAAGGGTCATTAAGAGCAATCAGGAATTGTGCTGATTTAAAAAGTGATCTAAGTAAATGCTTTGAACTAAATTCGTAAGAAAAACCAGGAGTTAAAAAAGGCACACACTCACTTACCATGAGAATGAAAAAGTAGAACACCCACATCCATCCCAGATTGTCCTGGATCAAAGACACTAAATACTACAAGGGAGAAAAAGAAATTACAATATAATCCTTTATAAATTAATCAAACGAAGTAGCTGAAAGGTAGATTAAACACTGCTCTTCCAGAAAATGAGAAGGGAGTTAGGATTTGTAGAATGGTTTTCGGTTTGCAAAGCTTTCATGTGCATGTGCCTACTTAAGATATCTGGCCTTCCTCTTGTAAGCTGGCAGAGTCCAAGTACAAACACTGCAGAAGAGATGACATGACTATAAGGTTTATTTTTATTCACTTTGCTAATAAGAGAGGAAGATGAACATCCTCAAGCCACTTCTGTTTAACCGTTCTTTCTTCCAATGAAAGGTAGTATAATTGATGCTTGTTTTCTTTTTTTTTTCACGATTTTATTTATTTGACAGAGAGAGACACAGCGAGACAGGGAACACAAGCAGGGGGAGTGGGAAAGGGAGAAGCAGGCTTCCCGGGGAGCAGGGAGCCCGATGCGGGGCTCAATCCCAGGACCCTGAGATCATGACCTGAGCCGAAGGCAGACGGTTAACACCAGGCGCCCCTAATTGATGCTTTTAAAAATAGTTTGTCTTGGGCGCCTGGGTGGCTCAGTCGTTAAGCGTCTGCCTTCGGCTCAGGTCATGATCCCAGGGTCCTGGGATCGAGTCCCACATCGGGCTCCCTGCTCGGCGGGAAGCCTGCCTCTCCCTCTCCCATTCCCCCTGCTTGTGTTCCTGCTCTCGCTATGTCTCTCTCTGTCAAATAAATAAATAAAATCTTTAAAAAAAAAAAAAATAGTTTGTCTTTTAAGCATGTTGCCCACTTTTCAGTGGTGTTATTTAGACTCAGAGGATTTCTATACGGCTTTAACATTCTACAACAAATTCTTTTACTTTATTTCAATCACCGAAAAGAATCTAATAGCATTTAACCCTTTTTCTTTTTCTATTATGATAAAATATATATAAAATTGGCCATTTTAACCATTTTTAAGTGTACAATTCAGAGGCATTACGTACATTCACAGTGTTGTACCACTATCACCACTATCTATTCCCAAAATTTTTCATCACCCTAAACACCAAGGCTGCACCCATTAAGCAATAACTCCCCACCACCCCCTCTTCCCAGCCCCCTGGTAACCTCTGAGAATTTGCCTGTTCTAGAGATTTCATGTTCAGTGGAGTCACACAATGTTTGTCCTTTTGGGCCTGGCTTACCTCACTCAGCATACTGTCTTCAAGGCTGCGGCACATGTTGGAATAGCATCCCTTTCTATGGCTGGATAATATTCCACGCTGTGGACATGCCACCTTTTGTCTGTCCTTCATCAGCTGCTCAACATTTGGCTTGTTTCAGCCTTTTGGTTATTATGAATAACGCTGCCGGGAACACTGGTATATATACGTATGAGTCCTGTTTTCAGTTCTTTAAGGTATATTCCTAGGAAAGGAACTGCGGGGTCACACGGTAATCCCATGTTTAACTTTTTGAGGACCCACCAAAGCATTTTCCACAGCAGCTGCACCATTTTACATTCCCACCAGCAATGTCAGAGATCCAGTTCCCCCAGATCCTCATAACTGCTTGTTCTTTTCTGTTGTTATTTGTAAAGTGATGGCCATCCTAATAGGTGTGAAGTGGTATCTCACTGAGGTTTTGATTTGCATTTCCCTAATAACTAAGGATGTTGAGAATCTTTACAGGTGTTTATTGGCCATTTGTATATATTTGTCATGAAGATTTATCCCTACAATTTCTTCTAAGAGTTTTTATAGTTTTAGTTCTTAAAGTTAGGTTTTGATCCATTTTGCGTCAGTTTTTGTCTACGCTGTAAGGCAAGGGGTCCACCTTCATCCTGCGTGTGTGTATATCCAGCTTCCCCAGCACCATCTGGTGAAGAAACCATTCTTTCCCCATTGAATGGTCTTGGCACCTTTGTCAAAAATCAACTGACCAGGGCGCCTGGGTGGCTCAGTCGGTTAAGCATCTGCCTTCGGCTGAGGTCATGATCCCAGGGTCCTGGGATGGAGCCCTGTGTTGGGCTCTCTGCTCAGTGGGAAGCCTGCTTCTCCCTCTCCCTCTGCCTGCCACTCCCTCTGCTGTGCTCTCTCTCCCTCTGTCAAGTAAATAAATAAAATCTTTAAAAAAAAAAAATCAATTGACCACAGATGTGAGAGTTTACCCATGTTCTTCCATCACACACTACCAGTGAAATTTATAAGCGGAAAAAAAGCAAAACGAGTGAGTGATGTAGCCTAGATTACATAATGGAAAGCAAAAAAGCAGAGGTCTAGTCACCCATTAAAGGGCTCACAGCAGCGCTCCCAAGTCTTTCTGCCACTTTATCTTTCTTTTAAACAGTTTTATTGACATATAATTTACATAACATAAAGTTCACCCATTTAAAGTATACAACTCAATATTTACAGAATTGTGCAACTATTACCATAATGTAATTTTAGACCATTTCTATCAACCCCTACCAAAAGAAATGTTCTACCCATCAACAGTCACTCTGTAAACCCACTTGACCCCAGGCAACCACTAATCTAATTTCCTTCCCTATAGACTTGCCCATTTTGGGATAGCTCATATGAACGAAATCATTTAAGTACATGGTCTTTTGTAACTGGCTTCTTTTACTTAGCATACTATTTTTCAGGTGCATCCACGTAACATCTATCCACTTTTAAGTGCCAGATACCCTCTTCAAAGGCCAAATACTACTGCATCATATGAATACAGACATTTTGTTTATCCATTCCTCAGTCGATGGACATCTGGGTTTTTTCTACTTTTTAGCTGTTATAAGTAATCCAGCTATGAACGTGTATGTGTTCAAGTGTTTATGTGGACATTTGTTCTCATTTTCCTTGGATAGATACCACAATTTAATCTTACTGAGCCCCTACTATGTGTCAAAAACATACTAAGCCATTGGGACCACAAAGATGAAGGAAACAGTTCCTGTTCTCAAGGAAATGCAGAGTCTGGCACAGATAAACCAGTAAATGTGATGCACCATGACAAGCACTCTGTTAGAGGTAGGCACCAACCGCTATGGAAACCAAGAGAGAAACAAACATTTTTCTTGTGAAGTCCAGGGAAGGTGGGGAAAAAAACTGTTCGGGGTAAATCAGAAGAGCCGGGACAAGGCTCATCAAGTTTCTAATATTAAGTCATAGAGTTTGGCAGGCGAGAATTCTACCACTGAACCACCAATGCCTGGTAAGTCATAGAGTTTGGAATCTCATACCCCACGCAATGGGAAATTATTCAAAAATCAATATGGAAGAGGAATGAATAAAGCTAACAATGATTTACTCCAGATCCCATTTCCCCAACCACCAAAGTGAGCCTAATGCCGACCCAAGTTCATAGTTAGGGATCCAAACACTGGCAGGTGAGACATTCCAAATACAAATAAACTCCCTGAGGGATGCCTGGGTGGCTCAGTCGGTTAAGTGTCTGCCTTCAGCTCAGGCCATGATCCCAGGGTCCTGAGATGGAGTCCTGCATCAGCGAGGAGTCTGCTTCTCCCTCTGACCCTCCCCTTTCTCATGCTCTCTCTCTCTCTCTCAAATAAATAAAAACCTTTTTTTTTTTTTAAAGATTTTATTTATTTATTTGGCAGAGAGAGACACAGCAACAGAGGGAACACAAGCAGGGGGAGTGGGAGAGGGAGAAGCAGGCTTCCCGCTGAGCAGGGAGCCCGACGCGGGGCTCGATCCCAGGACCCTGGGATCATGACCTGAGCCGAAGGCAGATGCTTAACCACTGAGCCACCCAGGCGCCCCAGCAAATAAATAAAAATCTTAAACAACAACAACTAAACTCCTTGAAATGCTCATTATATAACCCACCCATTTGATTAATGAAAAAAACATCAGGGAGAAACGATAACTGAGAATACAGTGATATCAGAAAAGGATGTCCAATACAATCACCCCTTACCCTTTATATAAAGCCTCTGAACTAGAAGCCAATAGAATTTTTGGTTCCTACTCCAGCGCACAATCAAGTAAGCACATTTCTCCTACTTTTGCTAGGTTTTCTCTTTCTCTTCAGTCTCATAATCAAGTACGCTAAGCTTGATACATCAACCCTATCAACCATTCGTTCTACAGCCACTCAACAGATATGAGCATGTCTACTGTGTGCCAGACACCGTCCTATGACGGGAGAAGCTACCATGGGACACAATAACAAATAAATATATAACATATGGCTGGGTAGTGATAAGCATGAAGATGGCTTATTTTCCTCAATACTTGCTCTCTCATTAACCACCAGCAATCAGACATTGGTGATCTATCCCCACAGAGCAAGCAAAACAGCAATATTCAAGGCCGGTAATGACCTGAGTATCGAAACTTAGAGACTTTTTTCTTCCATTCTCCTTCTCTGGCCCCTCTACACCTCTGATCTCACTGACTAACACCTCCCCTTGCCTACACGGCACTGCTGACTTCCTATGTCTTTGACCACTGGGCAACCCCTGAGGTTTTGCCTGTATTTTCTTTGCCCATTAAACATCTCATTATCTTCCAAAGTTTCATCTATTTTATCTATGCAGATGATTCTCTGATCCTTCTTTTTGCAAAATTAGCCCTCAATGACCTGGAAAGGTATACCCTAGGAGAGGCATGAGTCGCTACTGTCCCAAGGAAGAGAAGGCTGAATTTAAGTCTTTGAGTAGTTCTGACTACTTACTGTAGGCCAATCTTAGCCTAGACAATCTCAAGTTTAGAGTGCCTAAGAATCACCAGGAAGGCTTGTTGTAACACAGATCTCCAGGTTCTAATTCAGCAAGCCTGCAGTAAGCTCAGTGTTCTGTACTTTAATAAATAACCCAGATGATTCTGACACAAGACATTTATGAACCTCCCTTTGAGACACAGTCATTGGAAGCAGAGAAAGTGACTCAGAGCAGCTGCCGAATCCATGGCAATTTCTGGTAGAGATCCATGAGAAGAACTTGCGTGTCTGGTATGAGAGAGGAGGTAGGGTGTGCATGCCAGGTGGGGGATAATGAGAAGCACGTGTCTCGTGGCCCCTCGGAGTGCCAAGTTCAGGCTGGGAAGAAGGGAGTAGCAAACTGGGACTGAGGATCTGTCTTATGAGGTGTCAGCTTATTTCCAGACAGGAAGAATCTGGAAATAAAAGTGGGAAGAAAAAACTAAAAAATGTAGAGGGACCTTCCACATTAGGTCCCGTTAGCTGATCTCAAAGAAGATTAGAAACCTAAGGCTTACAGAAAAGTATACTACGCAGAACGAGAGTGCCACCTACTGTGGCCCAGAGGGCAGGTGTAAATTCTTCCACCAATGAGAGACTACTCACCACTCAATTTCAACCCCTCTCTTGTTCCCTCACCTGGCCCACCGCAGCTCCAATGCTTCCAGTTCCATCAACAATTCCTGTGACGGTCGCCAAAGCCTCACTGCTCCCTTGGATCAACTCTTGGCGACCCAGGTCCGCAGAAATAGCAGAGCTAATCATGTTAGAAGGTCCGCCAATAAAAAATCCTGAAGTCATAAACAAAACAGGTTCTCATTAAAACATTATTCATCACACCGCTAGAAATCTACTGGACGAGACAACTCTTATCCCAACCTTTTAATCAATATGTTGGAGAGAAACAGCGGAAGGGAGAGAAAAAAAAACAGTAAAGATGAAAACTCTTCCAGATCATGTCATCTTCAAACTAGTTAGCATCCACTTTTCTGAAAGCCCTACTTGAATTATACGATATTCTGGTATATTTTATAAAAACCAAAGATACAGAAAATACAGTGAATATACAGCCTTTCTAATCCTGTAAAGACTGCATTCATCAATAACTAATTACACTTGCTTGTCAACTTCTACTATGGTAGAGTTGTATCAACTGAGTATTTGACTATCCAAATTCAACCACACATATTGAAAAAAAAAGCGAGAAGAGAAAAAGCTCTGTCGTCTGACAGACGGTTCTATCAGCCACTGCTCCCCACGAGGCTGTCTGAGGACTGAGCAGGAATTGGCCCACGTGACTCTGTTCACGTGGCTGGAATGAGTTTCATGTCACATATCATGAGCAGCTCTCACTATCCTGAGTAGGATCTAAAGTTTAAAAATAATCTTTCTATACCATGGTCCCTAATTACACTCAACTGTTTCATCTGGTGCTCACATGGAGAAATACTGACCAATTCCAACATAGCTGGAAAACCTTTTTTTTTAAAGATTTTATTTATTAACAATGAATCATGGAACACTTCATCTAGAACTAATGATGTAATGTATGGGGATTAACATAAGAATTAAAAAAAAAAAAGATTTTATTTATTTATTTGACAGAGAGACACACAGCGAGAGGGAACACAAGCAGGGGGAGTGGGAGAGGGAGAAGCAGGCTTCCCGCTGAGCAGGGAGCCCAATGTGGGGCTCGATCCCAGGATCCCAGGACCCTGGGATCATGACCAGAGCCTAAGGCAGATGCCCAACGACCGAGCCATCCAGGCGCCCCAGGAAAACCTTTTTGAAAGCTGGTGAATTGGTTTCCAGTGTGGCATCTTCCTAAACCACCTCCAGAAGTAGTAAGGGAAGCTGGGGAAGCAATCAAACATTTTAGAAAAATCTCTGTCCAAGGGACTGCTTCCGTAACAACAGGACTGAAGAGGTCACATAATAGCAGAGAAACAGAATCTGAATCTGAAGTAGGCAGCTTTCCTTTTACCATCGGAGCTCTTTATAATGAAGGTTTTAGTATTACTCAAACCGAGGGAGCAAACGGTTTCCCTTTCCTTTCTATTTACAGGGGAGCAGTAACAGTATAGTAAAATGGAGCCACACGACATACCTGTAACCGCCATCAGAAGTGCATTAATGGACTTATCGTTCGGAGAACCTATGAGAAAAGATGCAGAAACAGCATGCTGACTTTAAAAGCAGATTACATCGGCCCCCACTGAACAGCACAGAAAGATCTGGATCTCAGTGACCTCACAGATCACTCCCAGAGACAACAAAGGGATACAACTCTTTCACCGCCTACTCCAACTTTTATTTGTAATGTCTGCCTCTTGCTGGTGCTCAAGCTAATGAGACTTCTAAAAGCTGAAGAAAAACTCTACTCCCATCTCAGCAGCATCTTAAGGGACGTATACCAAACCTACTAATTACCATCTTTCCTCTTTTGAAACCCTTTCCCTTTTATTGTTTTATTGGCTCTAATGCTGGCCCTCTGGAGCCTACCCTCAAACAAAGCAGATACACTCCCAAGCAAGCTTTTAAACAAACCAACAAAGCAGGAGAGATGCCAGTTTCCTCCCCAACACAAATAAAACTACGTGATGATACTTTTACCAGGCATTTACAGGACAATACAAAGGTCTCGTATCAGCCTTTGTAGCTGGTCTCAAGCATCTCTCTGGGGTTGATCACTGACTCACGGCAAATGCCTTAGTCCTGAGAGATCAGAAAAGTAATTCAGTTGCAAGGGAATACTCACGGCTATATCCAACGAGGGACCCAACAGCCAGAAGCAGACTGAGAGCTAAAACTGGTGCTCTCTTCTGTAATATGTCAGAGATGAAACCTTGCAAAGTCCCACCTGCAAGTACCAAGAGGGCATCACAAGCAAAATCGTTTATGATTTAGCTCAGTTTATCTGAAGCTTGTTCCCCACGTACTCTCTCCCTGCTAGCAGGATCCTGACACTGGTCTACCCAAAAAGATGGCTGACTCTCCCAAAAAAGCTTCCTCCACAGCTTCCTTTAAGGAAGATTACCTGACTGTTAATGGCCACAAAGGCTGATAGGAACAGGACACCATGAATCACACAGCAAAATAAGGAAAAAGGAAAAAATCATCAAAACCACCCACTGTCCCTTGCTGTTCTCACTTCTCAAACCAGGCTTTTCCTGATTTTTCTTTTTATTTATTTTATTTTATTTTACTTTATTTTAGAGACAGAGCCCATGCATGTGCAGGAGCAGAGGGATCTTTTTTTTTTTTAGATTTTATTTATTTATTTGACAGAGAGAGAGAGCACAAGCAGGGAAGTGGGAGAGGGAGAAGGAGAAGCAGGCTCCCTACTGAGCAGGGAGCCCAATGTGGGGGCTCGATCCCAGGACCCTGAGATCATGACCTGAGCCAAAGGCAGATGCTTAATCGACTGAGCCACCCAGGCGCCCCAGAGGGAGAGAATCTTAAGCAGGCTTCATGCTCAGCACAGGGCCCGACATGGGGTTCAATCTCACGACCCTGAGATCATGACCTGAGCCAAAATCAAGAGTCGGATGCCTAACGGACTGAGCCACCCAGGTACCCCTCTGCTTTTTATTTTAAAAGATGGTTCATTAAAGACCATGCCTCATGAGCTGTTAGTAGCAGCCAATAAATGTTCACTAAAATTAAATGCAGTGATTATCATTTGGTGATAATGAACAGGTCAGGATGTTTAGAAAGAGGTAATGTGAATCCTTTAAGCAACAAGGTCACATTTAGATACAGCCACATTTTGAGCAATAGGGGTTATGGGACATCTGGTACATCCTCATTGGACAGCAGGACCCAGAAGTATGGTCAGGTCTAACGGTGGCAGCCTCACCTTTGGCTCTGTATCTAAGAATAAGGGCAGACAAGTTCAAGTACAGTAACAGCGTATCACCTGAGGACTCACTGCTCTCAGGTGCTCAGGGCAGCTTAGCCTTACCACAATTCTAAATCCAAACATTACAGAAAGGATGTTATGATTTTGCCATAGCCATATAGGTAACACCCAATAAAATGCACTCTGTACAACGGTCTTATTTTAGAGTTTCTTAAGTACTTGTTTATGCTTCCAGCCGTAGCAAAAAGTCACTATTAAAATCTGCTGTGTGCGGTGGAACAGTTGCAAAATACTCATTGAAATGAATCCCCACTATTATTCCTACCTCTAGGATCTGACAAAATCCATACACTAAGCTAGTATTTTCCCTTCTTTGACTGTGCGTGGTGGGGAAGGTGGGAAGTAGATAAAACGAACACATTCACATTCTAACTTGGATCTCTGGCATACAATTAGCTTTAGATCTAAGATATCACTGAAAGCGTGCGAAAGGGTTACATTTAAAGAGATCACAGAGGGAAACATCCCTGTGCTTCCCAACACAAAAGAACTGATCCATAAACAAAGAACCGAGAAAAAAAGAGCCCTATAAATCACAGGGCCTGCCGTGGGCTGGCTCTTCCTTTCTATGGATTCTTTTTTTTTAAGACTTTAGCTGTTTACTGGTAGGACAGTTTAGGAAAAATGGCTGTAGACTAAGTAATAAAACTTTAAACGATGTCAGATTTCATAACCCAGTAAAATATTACCAGTGACTAACTCTCTTCACAGAAAAAGATCATCTGGCATTACCTATAATTCCTCCAACATCATACCAAATGGACAACTTGTCAGCTTCAGCCTCCTTCCATCCAAAGTTGTTACTCAGATAAAAGGGCAACCAGAAGAAGAAGGAGTAATTTACTAACTTCAAGCAGGCGTAGGCCAGTGAGTACTACAAGAAAAACATTCGACCTTCGATAAGGAACAAACAACAGCACAGACGGACCACAATTCTTAATGTAATTAAAAACCAAAACCATACACAGGGGTTTGGGAAGAATAGTACCTGATTTTAAAATTACACACTTCTATAAATTCCCATTTGCCTGACTTTACCTAGTCTCCCTCTTCTCTTTATCCCCATTAGCTTCCAGAAAGGCATGTGCAGCAGGCCTCTGGAATAAAAATACACATGACTATTTCTTAATTGTCCCCAGTTTCTTCTCCTTTCAGTTCCCCGGCAGAAGCAAAGCAGTGTTTTGAACCTCAAAGGGAGAGCATACACTCATGTTTCTTTATTTAGACAAAGATAAAAGGTATTCATACCACTAACTATCATTAACCACAAGCAAAGAAATCCAGTAAACATCACAGCTTTTATTCAAAGCAGCCCCACCTTTTTGGTTCTTCTACTTCCTGCAAAATTAACATTATGAACAGTGGAGAGCAATGTGACGAAACTATAGTTTCAAGGTCTAAGGAAAGCAGCGACATTAGAACTACTTTCACATTATGGTTTCCAAAAGCCTTGTATTCCAACATCCAGTGGAAAAGCAAAAAGTATCTTTGCTGAGTCAGAAATCAAAGAGCATGACCGTCCTGGGCCTTGTGGCTCTGCTTGGAGGACTAAAAGTGGCAGTGGCGCTAAGACTCCTATATTCAACACATTATTACCAGGGACTCCTGACATTTAGCATCAAAGGAAAAAGGGGGAGGAACAGAGAGGCTGACTTCAAAGGGTGTCTGGAGAGTATGTTCTTTTCCCCGGAGCGGCCAGTTACTGCCTAGGTATCACTTGTTGTAAAACCACTTCCCTGGCAGGGCAACGGCCGCCCCCTAGAGAGCCGAGTCCCAATCATGAGGGTGTTTTGTCCAGAGAGCCTGCTCCAGAGACAAAGGAATTAAGTTAACTCCGTTTTCTCTGCATCCCTGCCCGAGTCAGGGAACAATTGCTCGTGAAATACAAAGGAGTAGCAAGAGTTTCATATTTAGTCACAACAGATGTAAGGTCTGGCCCAGAAAGGAAGCTATTACCAGCAGAATATTTTAACAACTACTTAAAAATCACTAACCTTTAGCCTAAGAACAGGCCTCAAGGACCTTGCATTCCGCTTGTATAATATATTGTCTTTTGGCTACAGAACTGCAGAAATGTACACTTACGTTCTCACTCACACTTCACTGTCTGTCTGCAAATGTCGGTCCTCTCAGCCTGGGGGCACAGGCAGAGGGGACTAGTAAGCATGCAGACTCTGAAGCTAGCTGAGGGGTGACATTTGTAAAGCACCATTAGACAATAAAATAAACAAAACCAGGTGCTTATTCACAATACAGTAACCCAGCGTTACAGACCCCGGGGTAGACTGGGTTACTCTGCTCCGTGGGAAGGGGGCACCGAGGACACAAGGATGGGCTGAGTGACTTACCCCAGGCCTTACAGAGAGTTAATGGTAAGCTGGAAATATAACCTAGGCCTCCTAACTTCCACTCCTGCGCGGGCACGCCCAAAACATCAAGACAGAAAAACTGCATAAGGGACTTAGTTCAGACGTTAGTAAATTCTCCTGACCGCAAAGGTTTTGGAAACACTGGAATGCATTACCAAGAAATACTGTTGGAGTACTGTGTTCTGCACCTTTTAATAAAAGGGCAAACAATTTTTTTTCTAGAATAAGAATACAGGCAAATAAGGCAGACTTAAATGAACCATTCAAAACCCCTCTTGGTCACATATAATTCTATACTACTTCAACAGGCCAAAAAGAACATATTTAAAAACATTAATTTTGCCTTCTTACTTGAATGCAGGGTCAGGGTCAGCAAACTAGAGCTCACGGGCCAAACCTGTCCACACCCCTTTGTTCCATACCATCCAGGGTTTCATGTGTTCTACAGATGTGAGTAGCTGTGGTAGAGACTGTACGGCCCCCCCGCCAACCCCAAGGCTGAACACATTTACTATCTGGCTCTTCACAGAAAAGGAACACCAACTCTGCATTAGAACACAGATAAAATTTCAAGTTGTGGCCACCCCAGACACGAGCTGAGGGGCACTATACAATATTCCTCTGAACGTATATTCCTAAAATAAAGTATCAAAGAGAAGCTAAATACTTCAAGATGCTTTGTCGCAGGTAGAGCTAATATCCAGGCTATATCTCACGAGTTGTGGTAAGGAGATCTGAACATCCTTACCGGTATAACTCCAGGAAGACAACAGGCCTGATAAAAGCTTATTGCCTTGACCTGGGTAACAGCACTGCCCTCTTGGATGGAATAATTAGGCTCATATTCGTCTTCGTTGTCAGCACCATTAATCAACGGCCTGTGTGAGTCTTCTTCAAAATGTTCTTCTGCCTCGATACCTGGGAGACCTAGAACAGTAAGAGCCACGATTTATAGAGTACCTTCTAGACGCCTGGCACTGTGCAAGGTGCTTTGTACGTATCATCACTCCTGGGGTCGAGATTATTTTTATCTCCACTTTACAGAAGCAGCAACTAAGGTTCAAGGCCAAGGTCAACCAGAGTTGATTAAGGTCACACAGCTAATAAGCAACAAAGTCAGGACTCTGATTCTACTTTACTAACTAGATTCAAAGCAATGCTTTTTCAACGACATTATACTATATTACATTTAAGAAAACGTTAATAACATACAATTAAACTGACATGTCTCTTCAATAACACGCAAAAGATGGAATTGTACATCTATTTGCTTCTGTGGTTTTGCTTGTATGTAACCACAGATAAGTATCAAACTAAATTATTTTTATGAAGGGAGAGAAATCTGTCTGAAGAAGTGAAATGAGAAATAGATCATGCTAATTTCCAGTCAGTGTCTCAATTACAAAGCTCATTTGCAAATGCAGAGTTTTCTCTGAATCTAGAAAGGCGAGCCTCCCTCCCCTCAAACGTCTGCAGCTGCGCCCAGTCAGCCAACCGGTGTCTACGGGACACAAACAGCAAATACCACTCCTTCAACCCCCTGAAAGGAGCTCACAGTTCTCCTAGGGAACAAGAGACTGGCCGTGCTGGCCTCAGGTTTCTCTTCGCCCATAACAGTTAAGACGTGCTGAACAGAAAGGACAGCTTCTCGGGGCGCCTGGGTGGCTCAGTTGGTTAAACGACTGCCTTCGGCTCAGGTCATGATCCTGGAGTCCCGGGATCGAGTCCCGCAACAGGCTCCCTGCTCGGCAGGGGGTCTGCTTCTCCCTCTGACCCTCCCCTCTCTCATGTGCTCTCTCTCACTCTCTCTCTCTCAAATAAATAAAATCTTTAAAAAAAAAAAAGGATGGCTTCTCACCAATTTCTTCTGGTGACACCAGGAGTCCAAAGAAGATGACGATCCCACCGGCAAACTGCACAGCCGCTGTCACGAGAAAGGCATACTGGAGAAGAGAGGAGAGAGGTGCTGTTTGCACATCTGGGATACTGCTTAGAGCACATTCACGAGAAGCACATGTGGGGAAGGTGGGGGATCGGGTGGGAAGAAGAGGGCGATGGGGAAGGAAATGAGCACTCAGTGCTCAGGCCGTGCCAGGCACAGAGCTGTTTCACTTGTGTTTTCCACGCATTTTCCCCCCGAGGCTCAGAGAGGCCAGTTAAGGTCCCAGGGACAGGGGCGCCTGGGTGGCTCAGTCGTTAAGCGTCTGCCTTCAGCTCAGGTCATGATCCCAGGGTCCTGGGATCGAGCCCCGCATCGGGCTCCCTGCTCAGCGGGGAGCCTGCTTCTCCCTCTCCCACTCCCCCTGCTTGTGTTCCCTCTTTCGCTGTGTTTCTCTCTGTCAAATAAATAAAATCTTTAAAAAAAAAAAAAAAAGGTCCCAGGGACAGTGAGTGGTACCACCACAATTGTGAAATCAGGACTGGCTCCAAAACCTCATTCTCTGTCCCACAGAGCCTCCCACAAGAGACACTATCTGCCCTCGAAAATATTCTATCCAGTTGAGGGGATTAAACAATACACCAAACAATAGTACAAGGCATCAAGTAGGCGAATAAAGGAGAAGGCCCAGTCCTAATAAGAAACACAGATCGAAGGAAACAGCTAAAGATGCAACACGGTGTCCTCAGGAAGAGCTGAAAAGGCAACTGACGGTCTGTCCCAGCACACCTGAAACAAAGGGACAGGGTGGGAATGAGAGAGAAAGCCTCCCGCATGGTCCAAGTGGGGGCTTCTGCTAAGGGAAAGCCGGGAATAAAACCGCTAGGAAAAGGTGAGATCAAGATTAAAGAACCTCAAAAGCCAGGCTGCACAGCGGAATTTTATTTAATAGGGAATGGAGCCTGATGTGGACAGACGGTCTAAATTTCTGGAAAAGACAGTGACAAAATTAGTGTTTCCAGGAGTCAAATCTGGGAGCCACACTTGAACCAAAATTCCCACCTGAGTCAATTGGTATAATCCAGACGCAAAGCCAAAAAGCCTGGAATAAAGGTGACTGGGGGGCGCCTGGATGGCTCAGATGGTTGAGCGTCTGTCTTCGGCTCAGGTCATGATCCCGGGGTCCTGGGATCAAGTCCCGCATCGGGCTCCCTGCTCGGCAGGGAGCCTGCTTCTCCCTCTGCCTCTCTCTGTCTCTTATGAATAAATAAAATCTTTAAAAAAAAAAAAAAAGGTGACTGGGAATACAGAAAGGACTTCTCACTGAACCAAACTCGACCAAAATTCTTCTGAGACCAAACACCTGGTGAACTATTTCAAAATTTATCTACTTTTATTTTTTTTTTAAGATTTTATTTATTTATTTTGACAGAGAGAGAGACACACACACAGCAAGAGAGAGAACACAAGCAGGGGGAGTGGGAGAGGAGAAGCAGGCTCCCCGCCGAGCAGGCAGCCCGACACGGGGCTCGATCCCAGGACCCTGGGATCATGACCTGAGCCGAATGCAGACGCCCAACGACTGAGCCACCCAGGTGCCCCTTGAAGCCATTTCTATTTGAACAACACATTCAAATCCTTTACCTTTCTTTTTGTGTATTGTTGGTCTTCTTATCAATTTGCAGGTACTCTTTACATATTAGGGAGATTAGCTCTTGATTTGTGACATGAATTGCAAATACTTTTTTCCCAATTGATTATACTGTCTTTAGACTTGGTATTTTTTCCATGAATAATTTCTGTGTTTGAAAGTCTCAGAAGTTTGTCTACTTTTAATATAAGCCTTGCCCCACCCAAACACAGCTCTACACTGTGTTCTAGATGGCCACAGTATTATTTCCTAAAAAACAAAACATATTATATGTACTCAAGAAAAAGTTAGAAGGAAATACCTACCTCATACCCGTATTGCAGAACAGAAGAAGCTAGGCATGCTCCCAAAATATTGCCCACTGAAGCACAGGCACTCCAGAGACCAAAAACAACTCCTCGTCTAAGACAGAGAACAGTGACAAACAGAAGACAATAGAATCAGAATGAATTCTGGTGCAGTTCAAATACAAAATGGCCAAAACAGTGAAAGTTCACATTCCAAAGAATCAACATTCTATCTTAAGATTTTTTTTTTTTAAGATTTTTTATTTATTTATTTGACAGAGAGAGAGACAGCGAGAGAGGGAACACAAGCAGGGGGAGTGGGAGAGGGAGAAGCAGGCTTCCC